CCTCGTTCTAAAAGTGCAATATTTCAAAAAGTTCAATGAATAGAAGATTGTTGGGGGCGGAATAGATCTGGACAAGGAGGAGAAGTCTGGATATAAATGTGAGAAGCGAGGGACATATGCTTGTTTTGTTAAAATATTATATGTTTGCTTTTGAAGAAAACAATCCAGAATACTTAACGTTGTTGTTTTAGTTAAATAAAACAATTTAAATGTTTGTCTGGTGATGTTCTCCTCCTAATACAACATGGCAAGAAAATCCTCCAAATATTAATGATTAACCTGTTGAATTGGAGATAGTTCATCTCCCAATGACTTCACAAATATCCGCTTCAATTACCTTTGGTAAATGAAATAACCAAACAATCGTTCATTTTCTGATATAGCTGTAAAACTAAACTGAAAAGTTTTCAAAATAAATCACTGTTTAAAAATGTATAGTGTGTACCTTCTAAAAATGAAACCTACATCTATCTCTGAGTTGTGAAGAATATGTATTAAGGTTATAACAACCAACAAGAATGCACTTTTATGTAGAAAACCATGATTAAATCGAGTCTTCCTGACTAGTGATTTAAATCAATTTAAATCAAATCCACCCTGCATTGACTATTTAAAGGATGGGAGCATCTAGTTTAGCCCTGATCCTACAACTGACTATACCAGGGATCGGCAACCTTTGGCACACGGCCCACCAGAGAAAGCCCCTGGCGGGCCGGGCTGGTTGGTTTACCTGCTGCACCCGCAGGTTCGGCCGATTGCAGCTCCCACTGACCGCGGTTCGCCGTCCCAGGCCAATGGGGGCTGCGGGAAGTGGCGCGGGCCAAGGGATGTGCTGGCTGCCTGTCCCGCAGCCCCCATTGGCCTGGGACAGTGAACCGCGGTCAGTGGGAGCTGCGATTGGCCGAACCTGCAGGTGCAGCAGGTAAACAAACCGGCCTGGCCTGCCGGGGCTTTCCCTGACAGGCCGCGTGTCAAAGGTTGTCGATCCCTGGACTATACAATCTGTCTTTGCTGGATCTGGGCTGCGAGAGAGGAAGAGTTTCATGACTCCCAGTAAGTCACTGAAAAAGTAGATCCAATGCTAGACACAAACATTTCTAACCATGCACCTTTAATTAGAGCAGCCATGGGTATGTGGAGACTTTCCCTATATAAAAGGACCATATACGAGGTAGACTTAAAGCTCTGCATTTAGGCCCTGATCCTGTAAACACTTATGCCTGTGAGTAACCTTACCCACCCATTACAGTAATGCACTGGGGCTACTCATATCTGTAAAGTTACCCACGTGCATAAATATTTGCAGGATCAAGGACTTATGTTCTGTAAAACAAAGTGTTATAAAAACTAAGGGCATGTATACACACGGAGGTTACACTGGCTGAACTTACATCGGTTTACAGGAACAGGCTAAACCAAACCAGGTTTAAATCAGTTTGAGTGTCCACAAACAATAGTTGTACCAGTTTAACAAACAAGAACATAAGAATGCCCATACTGGGTCAGACCAATGGTCCATCTAGACCAGTATCCTGTTTTTTGACAGTGGCCAGTGCCAGATGCTTCAGAGGGAATGAACAGAACAAGGCAATTATTGAGTGATCCATCCCCTGTCGTCCAGTCCCAGCATATGGCAATCAGAGCTTTAGGGACATGGGGTTGCATCCCTGACCATCTTGGATAATAGTCCGATCCTCCAGGAACTTATCTAATTCCTTTCTGAACTCAGTTATACTTTTGGCCTTCACAACATCCCCTGGCAACAAGTTGCACAGGTTTTGCAAAGAAGTACCTCCTTATGTTTGTTTTAGTCGTGCTGCCTGTTAATTTCATTGGGTGACACCTGGTTCTTGTATTATATGAAGGGGTAAATAACACTTCCTTATTCACTTTCTCCACACCATTCATGGTTTTATAGACCTCAATCATATCCCCCCCTTCGCTGTCTATTTTCTAAGCTGAACAGTCTGTGATTGGTTATCTGCCCCACACTAGCAGAGAAGGGGTTAAAAGCAGTTTAGGGAGGCTGTGCAGGGAGCAGCCAATCAGGGCCCAGCAGGCCCATATAAAAAGAGCTGCAGGGGCAGGTGCTCAGGTGCTGTAGGGAGTCCAAGGGAGAGGATGGGGTTCCTAGAGGACTGTAGGTGGGTAGTACCTCAGGGCAGCTGCCAGTGGGGACTGTGGGAGCTAGAGAGACCTGCTGGAATGTGTAGGCTTGAGGCCCTGAGAAGAGGGCAAAGAAGGTGCTGGGGCTGCAGGGAAGTAGCCCATGGAATTGAAGCAGCACTGGTGAGAAATTAAGGAGAGGTAGCAGGAAGCTGCTAGCTACAGGGTCTGTGGACTGGGACCCACAGTAGTGGGTGGGGCTGGTGCCCCCCCGGGGAAGTGGCTGGGCTACTGAGAAGCTAAACCTCCCTTGGAAGCTGGGAGCACAGAATGTGACATGGCTGGGGGGCTGTGTCATGAAGAGGATGCTGTGGTCCTTGGAGTGATGTGGGACCAGGAGCAGATATGACAGTGGGGAAAGCACCATTGGGAGAGAGTGCACTGACCTGTGGAGCTAATCCCCAAGACAGCCAGTAGGAGGTGCCAGTGTGGTGAGTGAAGCCCCACCACAAATCCCAGTGTTTTTAATCGCTACTCCTATGGAAGTTGTTCTATGCCCCTAATATCAGAAGGGTAGCCGTGTTAGTCTGAATCTGTAAAAAGGAAGAGAGGGTCCTGTGGCACCTTTAAGACTAACAGAAGTATTGGGAGCATAAGCTTTCGTGGGTAAGAACCTCACTTCTTCAGATGCAAGATGCTCCCAATACTTCTGTTAGTCTTAAAGGTGCCACAGGACCCTCTCTTGCTTTATGCCCCTAATAGTTTTTGTTTTTGTTGTTGTTGTCCTCTGTACCTTTTCCAATTATCTTTTCTGAGATGGGTCAACCAGAATTGCATACAGCAGTCAAGATATGGGTATACCATGGCTTTATATAGTGGCATTATATTTTCTATCTTATCAACCCCTTTCCTAATGGTTCCTAAGGCTCTGGTTGCTTTTTTGACTGCCACTGCACGTTTAGTGGCTGTTTTCAGAGAACAATCCTGGGTGACTCCAACATCTTTCTTGAGTGGTAACCACTAATTTAAAACCCATCATTTTGTATGTTCAGTTGGAATTGTTTTCCAGTGTACACTACTTTCTCTTATCAATATTACATTTAATCTGTTATGTCACTCTTTTGTGAGATCCCTTTAGAAGTTTGAATTATTTTGTATCCTCTGCAAACTTTGCTACCTTATTGTTTCCCCCCTGTTCCACATTCATAATGAATGTGGAACAACATGGGTCCTGGTACAGATCCTTGGGGGACCCTGCTATTTATCTCTCTCCATTGTGAAAACTGACCATTTATTCCTCTTGTTTCCTATCTTTTAACCAGTTACTTCGCTCCTCTCATAGGTTTCCTCTTATCCCATGACTGCTTTGTTAGCTTAAGTGCTATTGGTGTGGAATCTTCTTAAAGACTTTCTGAAAGTCCAAGTACACTATCAACTGGATCACCCTTATCCACGTGCTGCTTGACACTCTCAAAGAATGGTAATAGATTGGTGAGGCATGATTTCCCTTTACAAAAGCCATGTTGACTCTTCCCCAACATATTGTGTTCATCTATGTCTGATGATTCTGTTTTGGACTACAGTTTGAACCAATTTGCCTAGTACTGAAGTTAGACTTTCCAGCCTGTAACTTCCAAGATTGCCTCTGGAGCCTCTTTTAAAAATTGGCATTACATTGGCTATTCTCTGGTATGAATTATTTTGCATGGAGCAGGCTTCAGATCAACAGGATCATCTCCATAGTTAGTTCTTGCTTTACAAGAAAGCAGGAGGATTTGATGTATACATTTTGGACTACTTGTCTCCTACTGTTTGCAACTCAAATTTTTGGCTGGGGCATGAAATCTCAAAAGTGAAACTGACTAGAAAAAAGTGAAACTGATCAGCCTACTTTTCACTGTCCAACCTGAGTGAAAACACAACCCAAACCATCACCAGTAACAAACTATACCCCCTATCTTGCAATGACCTCTGCCTAGGCAAAGCTCCCCTGCCCTAATGTCATGGCAGGATTGGGGCCCTAGATTCTTAATTTCTTCCCATTTTACTACTCCAGGCCCCAATCCTGATATCTAATCCACATGGGTGAACCCCTGGGCAGGGGCCCTCTACCATGGATCATAAAGGAATATTTACTAACCCAGGGAAAATTAGGTAGAAATGTCTTTTTAATGTTTTTCAGTAAACTGACAGGGTGCATGTATTTTTCTTCTGCTTTCACTGAGTTTGTAAAGATAGGAGGCCTGGCAAGAGATGGCAGGGAAAAATGAGCAGTGTACCGTGTGTCCCCCCCTAAAGATTAAGAGAGCTTTCTGCAACACCCAGCCCTACCATAAACCCCACAACCCTCCCCCCAGCACTGATCTCCCCACCGGTTTCCTGCTCAGAAGCACACATGGCTCTATTAAAGGTGTGTGGGTGGGGGGGGACTCTCGGAGAAGGGAGATCTGCCTTTTGCCTTTCCTCCTTAAAAAAGCAGAGCCGAGAACCAGCAGCAGCGGGCTGGGACTGTGGCTTGTGAGGCCACCTTAAGAGACTTCCTCCTCCTCTCTGGGGTGGGGTGAGGCTGGCTGGGGTAGGCAGTGGCGTTGCTATGACAAGCATTTTCTTAAGCTAGCGCTGCTCGTGTAGGACTCGCTCAATTTGCAAAGCGCTGGCTCTGAAAACGGGGAGAGGAGAAGGCGAGGGAGAAGAGGAAAAAACAAACCCAAGCCTCGTCCCTATCTGCTGATTAGCTTCAGTGCAGAGAGCGGTGTGGGTTTGCTGGTTTTTTTTCCCCTTAAAGACCTTCAGCGTTAAAGGACATTGGTCTCTTTCCAGCTTCCTGCTTCCCTCCAAACTTTGGGAAGAGCCAAATCAAGCGAAGAGGGGGAGGGGGGGGGGGGGGGGGGGGGGAAGCGAATCCAGGAGTTTGGGATTTTTTAACCCCTTCCCTTCCATGGAAATCCAGGGGGTCTTCCCCGCCAGTGAAAGGCTGGATTGCTGGAGGCGGAGGGAAAGCAGCGAGAGCCGCCGCAGCCTATGAATTGATTCAGTCGTGCAAAGCCATTGCATGGCCGCTTCCCCCGCCCGCAGCCTGCTCTTCGCCAGACTGAAGCGCCCCAACTTGGAGCAGCTGGGCGGGTGGTAATCCTCGGGCTGGAGGAACCTCGCCTCCCGAGCCAGGAGCACAGTAAGTGGTTTTTCCTGTTGTGCTGGCAGCCTGTAGCCTCTGCCAGTCCCCTTCCACCATGCATGGATTTGCTGTTCCACGCAGGGGCTGGGTGGGATTTCTCTCTTTTGGGGGGGGGGCGGCTGCCTGGCTTCCTCTCTGGCTGAGGAACAGGCACAGGATGGAAAACTGTTGCAAACATATTTTCCGTGTCTGTTTCTCTCTGCTCTGGTGCTAGTTGTCCGCAGAGCGAAAGGAGGCAGAAGAGAGACTCTCACCCGGGGAGGCTGGAAAGCAGAGTTGTGTGTCTGTCTCAGCTTTCTCAAATCGCTGGTTGCAGCAACACAAACAGCTTTTTTGGGGGGGGGGGCAGTGAGGGGAGGAATTCCTTTCTCCACGGAAATCAAGCCGATGACTCGCCCAGTCCTGCCATGCTTGCAAAAACAGCCCCTGGGAGCCCTTCGGAGTTTGCAAGTTATAATTAGCTGTGGAAAATTTAGGGAGTTCCCTTAAGTGGAGCTGGCTCTAAAACCGAGAGAAAAGCTCTGTTGTCTTGGGGGGAGGGGGGGCTTCTAGGAGAGAGTATCCGGGGCGCGGGGAAGGAATATTTGTAAAAAGGGAAAGTGTTGTGCTTGAGTGTGTTTAATCAGGCTTAGGAGGGTGACGGGGCTGGTTACTGGCTGGGTTGGTTGACTTTTTATCAGACGCAGGGGGGCTGGAACAATTTTTATAGAAGGGGGGGCCTGAGAGCCATTGAACCAAACTGCAAACCCTGGATATAATAGACCACAAACCACTTCAAGCCAGGGTGTGTGGTAGCACCCCCAGCACCTAGGATCAGGGGAACTTTCATTTTTATGGAGGGGGGGCCCATAAAGCAGAAGCCTCTGGTCCTGATGACTTGTTTTTTTGGCAGGTTGGGGGTGGAACTTTCCCTGGCTCCCTGGACTCAGATCTGATCAGCTGATGCAGCAGTATTTTCTTGTGCATTTTCATCCTCAATTTTTCTTCCTTCCTTCTACCCGCCAATGTATCTTGCATTAAGAGCCTCTTACTGAAAAGGGCAGGGAGGTGGTAGTGGAGCTGAATCCAGGCCAGCGTGGAAGATTTCTCCAAGGAGAACTGGGCGGTGGAAGAGTGTTGGAAGCTAGCAAGCCTGCCCCTATGAAATAACCAATAGCTTAGACAGTAAAACAGGCAGTGTGTAATTCTGCTTACCTGCATGTGGGTGCCTGCCTGGCTGTAGCAGACTGAAAGTTCCCTGGGGCAGGGGCTGTCTCTGGCTGCGTGCACTGGAAGCCTGAGCCTGGCTGGGGCCTCTGGGCACTATGGTATATAAATAAGGTGTGTGTCCGTCCGTCATCCTAGGCTCTAGCTTAGTGACATGCTACTTTACTGGTTGGGAGCACAATGCCGGGTCTGTCACCCCTACTGTTGAGCCTGGCTTCATTTGAGAGGGGGAGCTCAGTCCCCTGCCCTGCCTCTCCTAACCCCCTCCCCACTGGGAGGGCTGCCAGGCAGATGGGGAAAGTGCCAGCTAACTGGGTGGGGCATGCAGGGATGGGGTCAGAGAAACATTTTGCTCCCCTAAGGGACCCACCAGTGTCTAGTCTATAGGGGGATTTGCCAGGGGAGCAACAGGATGCAGTGGTCTGTCTGGGATGCTGTGCTGGGAACATGTGCTCCCAGGGCGCTCCTGCTGCTAGGGAGGGTGTCAGCTGGTTCCGTCACTGCAGAGTTCATTCATCAGGGAGATGGCTGGGGGCACTGTGTGTGTGTGTGGGGGGGGGGGGGCTGCCCTCCCTCCCTCCCTGCTCACACATGATCCTGCTGTGGCGCAGCCTGGCATGCTGTGGCGCAGCAGGTGGGATGGGAGATGCTTTTAAGGAACAAACAGGTCAGGGGAGGGGGGCTCAGCCAGGAGCCAGCAGGTTGCCCCACATCTTAGCAAGAGACATTGGGGGCAGCTCCTGGGGGTGCAATGAATGACCAGCATGAGGACTGGATGGAATGGGTGGAGGGAGAGGCTGCTGCCTCCAGCCCTTCAAAGCCAAGGAGGAATTGCACACTATGGGGTACAGAGATGAGGGGCAGAACAGGCCAGCTCAGACCACTGAACTGGCCCAGCCTGATTTCCAACAGGTGCTAAGATCTGGCTTAGCTCTCCTTTCAGAAGGGTGGGGTGCTTCCTCCTTGCTCCCCTCAGATCTCCAATAGGGGGCTGTGGGCAGGGTTCCATCCCAGGGGGACACAGCAATGACTAAGGGAAGGGAGTGTGGGGCCTATGCTGGCAGCAGAGCTAAACTATTCCTGGTCGGGGGGGTGGGACATGGACAGATGTGGCTTCAGGGGGCACACCTCTCCTTTATGCCACTCGACAGAGGATCCCACCCTTGCAGCGGGGTGCTCCAGGGCCCCCTGGGTTCAAGCCCTGCAGTCTGACCCCACTGATCCATTGTGCTGGAGTGGGTGGATACCTGCAGCAGGTGGGCAAGGAATTGAAGGTGTCTCCCCCTGGCCTGCAGCACCCAGGCAATCCTGGTTGACTCCCCACCCACCTCATGGCAGGTAGGAAGGAAGAAAACTCCAGCCGGGGAGACTCCCGTCTGTTACTACACTTCTCCTTGGGAGAGCTGCAGTCATAAGCCTCTCTCCGGCTGCTGCTGCTTGGTGTCTGGGTGGGTCTCCCTGACCTTGTTAGCCTGCCCTTGGGATCACAGGGAGCATCACCATCTGGATTCCCCATGTCCCTTTGTTGCTCAGGAGGGGTCACCCATGTTTTGTCTGGTGGTCTGGGGTGGCTGGCTGCATGCAGCTGCAGGATAGGATAGTCATTAGACTGGCATGGGATGGGTGGTGTGCATCTTCCCCTCTGGAGTGCTAATCCTGAGCAGTCTGGCTTCAGGCACTGGTGAGAAGAGGTTCTTGTGATCTCAGCTGGGTGATGTTGAGCCATGTGGACTGGAACCATCGGCACTGTAGCTGGTCACTGTTGGGGAAGGGTCGAAATAGCTGTGGGGTGGGGGCTGCAGGTTGGGGTTGAGGTGCACTGTCTGGCAGGGCTGTGTGGGAGTCCAGGACTGAAATAGTGGGGGGAGGGGAGGAAGGGAAGAGCATCAAGTGTACTGTGAGGCAGCAAGCGTTGAGGTGCCCTGGTAGGGCTGCGTGAGCACTCGGCTCTGGAACAGGCAGGGATGTCACAAGTGTATTGGGAGAACGAAGCTGGAGCAGCACAGGGCAGACATGTGGGTGGGTGGACAAGCGGGTCCTGGACTAGTAGGATGTGTTTCAGGGTGGGATTGTGGTGCATTGGCAGCGCTATATGGGGGCAGTTTGCTCCATGCCATGCCTGGCTCTACCACTCCCTCCCTCCTGTCTCTTCCCATCCGTCACATCAAATTAAAATAAAAAAATAAGCAAATAAAGCAGCAGGAAAAGCTGGATTGCAGCCCACATGGCTGGCAGGCAAATGACTGAGAATAAGTCCTCTTCTGGCTCTTCTCTCTCCCCTCTCTGCCCCCAGCACCCTTCTTGCTGCTTGGTCCTGTGCTCTGTAGGTTGGGAGCATTCTTCTGTCACACTGAGCATCTGGTTTGAATCTGCATGCTTTGTGGAGTGGTTCTTGTTACACAGCTGGGAGGAATGTGCAGCAGGAGCAAGGCCCCCTGTGCTCAGTTCACAGGCTCACTAACCTGCCCCAACCCTTGCTTTTCACTTGAGGGTGATGCTGAGGGTCTCCCTGCAGCTCTAAGAATTAGAGGGAGCTTCTGGGGGGGGAGGTTGAAATCTGGGTGGTCCCTCCCTGCTTGGCAGAGGCAAATTCAGACCAGAACTGAAAGTAAAGGGGAAGGGCGTGGGAGCTGGTACAATGGGTTATTGTCCTTGTATCTCTGGGGCCGTGGGCTTGAATGGGGCTTGGATCATAAACATCATTAGTTTAGTAAAGTTGATGGGATTTTTGTCTGCAATGCAACACACTGCATTAGCATACACCATGGTTGTCAAGAGTCTGTGAGGGAGAGGAATTGCAGTGGGTGAGTGGGGCTACAGGCTGGGATTGAGGTGGATCACCAGAGCTTGGGACTGGAATAGTAGGGAAGGTTGCAAGTCAGGCTTGAGGGGTGTTGGGAGCCTGGGGTTGGAACAGCAGTGTGGGAGGACTGGGTCAGGCTCAAGATGCATCGACCGAGTATTGCGGGGGTGGGAGCCCAGAGCTGGAATATGAATCGGGTGGAGGGTCAGGATGGCGGCCCCTCAGCACAGGCAGGAGGACTGGAACAGGACAGGAGCCAGGTGTGGTGGCAGTATTTTGCAGGCTGCCTCTGCTCTGCCTGGCTCCAATCAGTGTCCTCAATCCTTCACTTCTCTGAGCACTGAAATGCACCTAAATATTGAATGAGAGGCCGACACCCCCGCTGCCCTCACATCCCAGTCAGAAGCAGTGGCACGAAACTCCCTTCCAGTGCCAGCAACTAGTGAGGTGCTGCTGTGACCTCTGACCTGGCTGCTGGGTGATTTCCCCCCCAGGGAATTGCAAAGTAAGATGCAGGAAAGGGACAGTTTGGGTGTTGGGGTGGTGGGATAGGACTGCACCATCTCTGGGTCTTGGCTTGGGGGGTGATTGTGGGTTTCTTTCTTGGTCTGCTGCTGGATTGTTGGAGGCTGTGCGTAGGGAATCCTCTCAGCTCCTGTAGAGTGTCCAACAACCCCAGAGCCTTTCCTGAAACCAGTTGTGATGCCCCTTGACCCTTGCTGAGTTCTCCATAGGGCACCTGTCACCACGGTTTCTAGGTGTTGGTTTGTGGCAGGTAGAGGAACCCTCTTCTTGGTTTCCCAGCAAGTGAACAGCCCAGCTGTGCCAGGGTTGGCATGAAAGGTGCCCAGTCTGTGTCCAGTGGGGAAGGGGACTTTTGCTGTCTGTGCAGGGCATGCTCCTGGCATGACTGCCCAGAACTGAGCAGGGAAATGCCCTGCCAGGCTGCTGCGCTCCAGGTGGAGTGATGAGGCAGCAGACTGACCCC